GTTGCTCTCACATCACGAAAATATGATTGGTTCATGCCAGGAGTACTGACAACATGTCAATATTCAAGATACATGTGATGTCTTGCAGGAATGTTTATCTCGGTTTCCTCCTTTTGCGTGCATCTTGCCCCCAGGATGTCCTATGGCCATTTTTTTTCACATGGTTTTCTTTCCCGTCACACATGACGGACTAAGAGAAAGAGGGCCTACTCGTAGTCTACGCTTTAATGGCTGTTGCCTTTGTAGAGAGGTGGTCACTGTAGAGAGGGTAAGATAACGGTGAATGTATGGACTGTCTGCCGAGATAAGAAAAAGTTGCAGTGGCCACTGTAGAGAGGTAGCCGTTAGTAGAAATTTGACTGTATTAGCATACACACCGATAGACATGCTATGCTGGAAGATGACTCATTGATGGATGACAAAGCGAAAACTTGCCAATCCTGGGTTACAACTACCAGAAATGTTACTGCAGCTAAAGGTGGTCTGGCCGTATCTTTCCTTTGCTTTCATTCTTTTTTCTTTCACAAATGCGAATAATGTACAGCTTAATAATTATTTAGAACTAGCAGAATCAATTTTTGACCGGATATTGTCCATTGACCGGCCATTATTTCAAGCCCTGGGTGGTGGTTCATCTTCTTCATCTTTGTTGTTTTCTGTTTGAGTGCTTCCCACCATCACTGCTCATTCTAGGCACGAAAAAAATTGTAATTTTTGACATGACCACCAGTGACATTCACCTGCATGGAGAATTTGCTCTTAGTTAAAAACTTTCCAGTTTAATAAATGATTTCTTGAATGAAGCAGATTGTTTATTTACAAATATTTCATCTTTGTTCCCGGTACAATTACAAATTATAGAGTTTCTATTTACAAGTCACGACTGGACAAGGTCAAAACAGAAATTGCTGAAATTTGCATTTTGGTCAGCAATAATTTGATATTCTTGAGATACAGCAAACATCTCCAATTTACATATCACAAAAATCATTTTTTCTTCAATGTCATTCCCTTTTTTATACTTAAATTTGGCCAAGTTTTCTTTTGGCCACTTTGTTTGGATTTCTAAGTATAGAAGAGCTGCTAGCTAAAGCAAACCGGAAACTGCACATTTCCGCAAGCTGTCAGCAAGATTTCTATTTATTTTAGTCTCCCAAGAAGTTTTTTGAGCTTAACACTGCTTGTCGGAAATATTGTCATTGTAACACAACACGCGCCCCCTTTTTGTGCTCGTGTTAGATAATAATGATGATGGAAGAAATGATTGACATTTTATTACCGAAGAATTTATGCTTATCTTGCAGTTTGTAATCTCATGTTATATAATACGCCATTAGGAAAGACCTGAAAAAGAGACATTGTTTCATTATGTATACCCTATCGTTAGAGAAACTTGAGAACTGTATCTGCTGTACTACGACTTAAAATGAAAGGAAACTGTGGAATGTTGTTAGTTGAATGCACACCTCGCCAGAGTGTAGATCATTTGAATGTGGGAATAAAATTCAGTCCTTTAAACTGAGTGTTGCTATTTGGATATTCCTGAAAACTGCTGGACTTAAAATACGTTTATTTAAATATCCATTTTATAACTGGCAGTAATCAAAGATTGTGAGTGCATTCAACGCCTTCACTTAGCTTGAATCATTTTATTAGCTGACTTTCAACTCCTGTCCATTGCTAAAATCAACGTTAAAACGAACAGATAAAAAAAAAATGATGTCCACTATTATCCAGAGGATTTGATTTCCCCACTTTTATTATTGTCCCCTCAATGAACTACAATTCGTTGACATGTTGTTTGACCGCATCAGTTTCCATGGATTCACAAGTTTAACCCATTGACGCCTGTGCCGCCCGTAACTGTTGGGAACTAGTCCCGAGACCCCTCTCAGTCCCGGAATCCGGGACATAGATTGTGTATGTGAGGAGATCGCACATGGCAGAAATACAGTTTCTCTTGCTGTTAATACCTCGTCTGTTCCTTGCTTCTCGTGGCACGCAGCGCTAGACTTGGTGTCAGAAGTGGGATCAACCATTTTTTTAGAACCGCCCCAGCGAAAACTTCGATCACGAAACCTCTTCTCGCAACGTTACGTTGGATACAC